TCACAGACTGTATCGTGATATGTTAGAATCACAGACTGTATCGTGATATGTTAGAATCACAGACTGTATCGTGATATGTTAGAATCACATACTGTCTGTATCGTGATATGTTAGAATCACAGACTGTCTGTATCGTGATATGTTAGAATCACAGACTGTCTGTATCGTGATATGTTAGAATCACAGACTGTCTGTATCGTGATATGTTAGAATCACAGACTGTCTGTATCGTGATATGTTAGAATCACAGACTGTATCGTAATATGTTAGAATCACAGACTGTCTGTATCGTGATATGTTAGAATCACAGACTGTCTGTATCGTGATATGTTAGAATCACAGACTGTCTGTATCGTGATATGTTAGAATCACATACTGTCTGTATCGTGATATGTTAGAATCACAGACTGTCTGTATCGTGATATGTTCAGAATCACATACTGTCTGTATCGTGATATGTTAGAATCACAGACTGTCTGGATCGTGATATGTCAGAATCACATACTGTCTGTATCGTGATATGTTAGAATCACAGACTGTCTGTATCATATGTTAGAATCACATACTGTCTGTATCGTGATATGTTAGAATCACAGACTGTCTGTATCGTGATATGTTAGAATCACAGACTGTCTGTATCGTGATATGTTAGAATCACAGACTGTCTGTATCGTGATATGTTAGAATCACAGACTGTCTGTATCGTGATATGTTAGAATCACAGACTGTCTGTATCGTAATATGTTAGAATCACAGACTGTCTGTATCGTGATATGTTAGAATCACAGACTGTCTGTATCGTGATATGTTAGAATCACATACTGTCTGTATCGTGATATGTTAGAATCACAGACTGTCTGTATCGTGATATGTTAGAATCACAGACTGTCTGTATCGTGATATGTTCAGAATCACATACTGTCTGTATCGTGATATGTCAGAATCACAGACTGTATCGTGATATGTTAGAATCACAGACTGTCTGTATCGTGATATGTTAGAATCACAGACTGTCTGTATCGTGATATGTTCAGAATCACATACTGTCTGTATCGTGATATGTCAGAATCACAGACTGTCTGTATCGTGATATGTTAGAATCACAGACTGTATCGTGATATGTTCAGAATCACATACTGTCTGTATCGTAATATGTTAGAATCACAGACTGTCTGTATCGTGATATGTTAGAATCACAGACTGTCTGTATCGTGATATGTTAGAATCACATACTGTCTGTATCGTGATATGTTAGAATCACAGACTGTCTGTATCGTGATATGTTAGAATCACAGACTGTCTGTATCGTGATATGTTCAGAATCACATACTGTCTGTATCGTGATATGTCAGAATCACATACTGTCTGTATTGTGATATGTTAGAATCACAGACTGTCTGTATCGTGATATGTCAGAATCACAGACTGTCTGTATCATGATATGTTAGAATCACATACTGTCTGTATCGTGATATGTTAGAATCACAGACTGTCTGTATCGTGATATGTTAGAATCACAGACTGTCTGTATCGTGATATGTTAGAATCACAGACTGTCTGTATCGTGATATGTTAGAATCACAGACTGTCTGTATCGTGATATGTTAGAATCACAGACTGTCTGTATCGTGATATGTTAGAATCACAGACTGTCTGTATCGTGATATGTTAGAATCACATACTGTCTGTATCGTGATATGTTAGAATCACAGACTGTCTGTATCGTGATATGTTAGAATCACAGACTGTCTGTATCGTGATATGTTCAGAATCACATACTGTCTGTATTGTGATATGTCAGAATCACATACTGTCTGTATTGTGATATGTTAGAATCACAGACTGTCTGTATCGTGATATGTCAGAATCACAGACTGTCTGTATCATGATATGTTAGAATCACATACTGTCTGTATCGTGATATGTTAGAATCACAGACTGTCTGTATCGTGATATGTTAGAATCACAGACTGTCTGTATCGTGATATGTTAGAATCACAGACTGTCTGTATCGTGATATGTTAGAATCACAGACTGTCTGTATCGTGATATGTTAGAATCACAGACTGTCTGTATCGTGATATGTTAGAATCACAGACTGTCTGTATCGTGATATGTTAGAATCACATACTGTCTGTATCGTGATATGTTAGAATCACAGACTGTCTGGATCGTGATATGTCAGAATCACATACTGTCTGTATCGTGATATGTCAGAATCACAGACTGTCTGTATCATGATATGTTAGAATCACAGACTGTCTGTATCGTGATATGTTCAGAATCACATACTGTCTGTATCATGATATGTTAGAATCACAGACTGTCTGGATCGTGATATGTTAGAATCACAGACTGTCTGTATCGTGATATGTTAGAATCACAGACTGTATCGTGATATGTTAGAATCACATACTGTCTGTATCGTGATATGTTAGAATCACAGACTGTATCGTGATATGTTCAGAATCACAGACTGTATCGTGATATGTTCAGAATCACAGACTGTCTGTATCGTGATATGTTAGAATCACAGACTGTCTGTATCGTGATATGTTAGAATCACAGACTGTCTGTATCGTGATATGTTCAGAATCACAGACTGTCTGTATCGTGATATGTTCAGAATCACAGACTGTATCGTGATATGTTAGAATCACAGACTGTCTGTATCGTGATATGTTAGAATCACAGACTGTCTGTATCATGATATGTTAACATATCTTAATTCTTGATCACAATAATAAATAATTGTGTCCCAAATATCGCAATACTATTGAATCCTCACATTTTTGTCTGTTCCCTACTATCTGCAACAGAGACAGGTACATACAGACGTCCGCCTACAGACGTACGCCTACAGACGTCCGCCTACAGACGTCCGCCTACAGACGCACGCCTACAGACGCACGCCTACAGACGCACGCCTACAGACGCACGCCTACAGACGCACGCCTACAGACGTACGCCTACAGACGTACGCCTACAGACGTACGCCTACAGACGTCCGCCTACAGACGTACGCCTACAGACGTCCGCCTACAGACGTACGCCTACAGACGCACGCCTACAGACGTACGCCTACAGACGTACGCCTACCTCTGTGCATACTTACTGCAGAGGTGAAAGAGGAGACACAGGGCAGTCTACTCGGGGGCTCAGTGGCTGGAACACTGGGCTGGCCTGGGGCGCCGTGAGGACCGGCTGCTGTGGGGGTCTAAGGGGGGACTGAGGCTGGACGTGGGGGGACTGAGGCTGGACGTGGGGGGGTCTGTGGGGGGATTGAGGCCGGACATGGGGGGGTCTGTGGGGGGACTGAGAATGGACGTGGGGGGACTGAGGCTGGACATGGGGGGGTCTGTGGGGGGACTGAGAATGGACGTGGGGGGACTGAGGCTGGACATGGGGGGGTCTGTGGGGGGACTGAGAATGGACGTGGGGGGGCACAGGAGCAGGGTAAGCCTGGGCCCGGGACTGGGCAGGCAGGGCCGGCTCCTTGGGCAGGGTGGTCCCAAAGAGTTCCTCCACAGTGATCTGCTTCACCACCCGAGCAGGCTGAGGAGGACGAGACAGATCCAGCTTTAGAACATGTTAAAGCTGAGGTACGTAACTTTAAACCACACAGAGAGAGAGAGACCAGAGAGAGGGACCAGAAAGAGAGACCAGAAAGAGAGAGATCAGGGAGAGAGCAGAGAGAGAGACCAGAGAGAGGGACCAGAGAGAGGGACCAGAAAGAGAGAGATCAGGGAGAGAGCAGAGAGAGAGACCAGAGAGAGAGACCAGATAGAGACCAGAGAGAGACCAGAGAGAGGGACCAGATAGAGACCAGGGAGAGACCAGAGAGAGGGACCAGAGAGAGGGACCAGAAAGAGAGAGATCAGGGAGAGAGCAGAGAGAGAGACCAGAGAGAGGTACCAGAGAGAGGGACCAGAAAGAGAGAGATCAGGGAGAGAGCAGAGAGAGAGACCAGAGAGAGGGATCAGAGAGAGACCAGATAGAGACCAGAGAGAGACCAGAGAGAGAGACCAGAGAGAGACCAGGGAGAGATACCAGATAGAGACCAGGGAGAGATACCATAGAGCTCTCAAAACTGTAGTGTCACCTTGTCTGCCTGAGGATGTGGTCGCTCGCTGGGGGGGACCACAGCTTTCATAGTGGGTTGAGGGCCAACGGGAAGGTCACAGTCTCCACCCTGAGCCTGAAGGGGAAGGATGAAGGAGAGGAGAGAGGGGAGAGAAAGAGAACAGAGAGAGGAGAGAGAAGAGAGAAGAAGAGAACAGAGAGAGGAGAGAGGGGAGAGAAAGAGAACAGAGAGAGGAGAGAGAGGAGAGAAGAAGAGAACAGAGAGAGGAGAGAGAAGAAGAGAACAGAGAGAGGAGAGAGAAGAAGGGAACAGAGAGAGGAGAGAGAGGAGAGAAGAAGAGAACAGAGAGAGGAGAGAGAAGAAGAGAACAGAGAGAGGAGAGAGAAGAAGAGAACAGAGAGAGGAGAGAGGGGAGAGAAGAAGGGAACAGAGAGAGGAGAGAGAGGGGGAGAAGAAGAGAACAGAGAGAGGAGAGAGAAGAAGAGAACAGAGAGAGGAGAGAGAAGAAGAGAACAGAGAGAGGAGAGAGGGGAGAGAAGAAGGGAACAGAGAGAGGAGAGAGAGGGGAGAAGAAGAGAACAGAGAGAGGAGAGAGAAGAAGAGAACAGAGAGAGGAGAGAGAAGAAGAGAACAGAGAGAGGAGAGAGGGGAGAGAAGAAGGGAACAGAGAGAGGAGAGAGAGGGGAGAAGAAGAGAACAGAGAGAGGAGAGAGGGGAGAGAAGAAGAGAACAGAGAGAGGAGAGAGGGGAGAGAAGAAGGGAACAGAGAGAGGAGAGAGAGGAGAGAAGAAGAGAACAGAGAGAGGAGAGAGAGGAGAGAAGAAGAGAACAGAGAGAGAGGGGAGAAAAGAAGAGAACAGAGAGAGGAGAGAGGGGAGAGAAGAAGAGAACAGAGAGAGGGGAGAGAAGAAGAGAACAGAGAGAGGAGAGAGGGGAGAGAAGAAGAGAACAGAGAGAGGAGAGAGGGGAGAAAAGAAGAGAACAGAGAGAGGAGAGAGGGGAAGAGAACAGAGAGAGGAGAGAAGAGGAGAACAGAGAGAGGAGAGAAGAAGAGAACAGAGAGAGGAGACGAGACTGAGATTCAATCACATCTTAAATGACACATTATTATGTGTCATTTGTCCAATTTCATGTGTCTCTGTCTCTGCATGTGTCTCTGCATATGTGTGTGTGTGTGTCTCTGCATATGTGTGTGTGTGTGTCTCTGCATATGTGTGTGTGTGTGGCTCTGCATATGTGTGTGTGTGTGTCTCTGCATATGTGTGTGTGTGTGTCTCTGTCTCTGCATGTGTCTCTCTCTGCATATGTGTGTGTGTGTGTCTCTGTCTCTGCATGTGTCTCTCTCTGCATATGTGTGTGTGTGTGTCTCTGTCTCTGCATGTGTCTCTCTCTGCATATGTGTGTGTGTCTCTGTCTCTGCATGTGTCTCTGCTGTCTCTGCATGTGTCTCTCTCTGCATGGGTGTGTGTCTCTGTCTCTGCATGTGTCTCTCTCTGCATATGTGTGTGTGTGTGTCTCTGTCTCTGCTATGTGTCTCGTCTCTGCATATGTGTGTGTGTGTGTGTCTCTGTCTCTGCATGTGTCTCTCTCTGCATATGTGTGTGTGTGTGTGTCTCTGTCTCTGCATGTGTTGTCTCTCTCTGCATGCTTGTGTTGTGTGTGTCTCTGTCTCTGCATGTTCTCTGCATATGTGTGTGTGTGTGTCTCTGTCTCTGCATGTGTCTCTCTCTGCATATGTGTGTGTGTGTGTCTCTGTCTCTGCATGTGTCTCTCTCTGCATATGTGTGTGTCTCTGTCTCTGCATGTGTCTCTGCATATGTGTGTGTGTGTGTCTCTGTCTCTGCATGTGTCTCTCTCTGCATATGTGTGTGTGTGTGTGTCTCTGTCTCTGCATGTGTCTCTCTCTGCATATGTGTGTGTGTGTCTCCGTCTCTGTCTCTGCATGTGTCTCTCTCTGCATATGTGTGTGTGTGTGTGTCTCTGCATGTGTCTCTCTCTGCATATGTGTGTGTGTGTGTCTCTGCATGTGTCTCTCTCTGCATATGTGTGTGTGTCCCTGTCTCTGCATGTGTCTCTCTCTGCATATGTGTGTGTGTCCCTGTCTCTGCATGTGTCTCTCTCTGCATATGTGTGTGTGTGTGTCTCTGCATGTGTCTCTCTCTGCATATGTGTGTGTGTGTGTCTCTGCATGTGTCTCTCTCTGCATATGTGTGTGTCTCTGTCTCTGCATATGTGTGTGTGTCCCTGTCTCTGCATGTGTCTCTCTCTGCATATGTGTGTGTCTCTGTCTCTGCATATGTGTGTGTGTGTCTCTGCATGTGTCTCTCTCTGCATATGTGTGTGTGTCCCTGTCTCTGCATGTGTCTCTCTCTGCATATGTGTGTGTCTCTGTCTCTGCATATGTGTGTGTGTGTGTCTCTGCATGTGTCTCTCTCTGCATATGTGTGTGTCTCTGTCTCTGCATATGTGTGTGTGTGTGTCTCTGCATGTGTCTCTCTCTGCATATGTGTGTGTCTCTGTCTCTGCATATGTGTGTGTGTGTCTCTGCATGTGTCTCTCTCTGCATATGTGTGTGTGTGTGTGTGTCTCTGCATGTGTCTCTCTCTACATATGTGTGTGTGTGTGTCTCTGTCTCTGCATGTGTCTCTCTCTGCATATGTGTGTGTGTGTGTGTCTCTGTCTCTGCATGTGTCTCTCTCTGCATATGTGTGTGTCTCTGTCTCTGCATATGTGTGTGTGTGTGTCTCTGCATGTGTCTCTCTCTGCATATGTGTGTGTGTGTGTCTGTCTCTGCATGTATCTCTCTCTGCATATGTGTGTGTGTGTGTCTCTGTCTCTGCATATGTGTGTGTCTCTGTCTCTGTCTCTGCATGTGTCTCTCTCTGCATATGTGTGTGTGTGTGTCTCCGTCTCTGCATGTGTCTCTCTCTGCATATGTGTGTGTGTGTGTCTCCGTCTCTGCATGTGTCTCTCTCTGCATATGTGTGTGTGTGTGTCTCTGTCTCTGCATGTATCTCTCTCTGCATATGTGTGTGTGTGTGTCTCTGTCTCTGCATGTATCTCTCTCTGCATATGTGTGTGTGTGTGTCTCTCTGCATGTGTGTGTCTCTGTCTCTGTCTCTGCATGTGTCTCTCTCTGCATATGTGTGTGTGTGTGTCTCTGTCTCTGCATGTGTCTCTCTCTGCATATGTGTGTGTGTGTGTCTCTGTCTCTGCATGTATCTCTCTCTGCATATGTGTGTGTGTGTGTCTCTGTCTCTGCATATGTGTGTGTCTCTGTCTCTGTCTCTGCATGTGTCTCTCTCTGCATATGTGTGTGTGTGTGTCTCCGTCTCTGCATGTGTCTCTCTCTGCATATGTGTGTGTGTGTGTGTCTGTCTCTGCATGTGTCTCTCTCTGCATATGTGTGTGTGTGTGTCTCTGTCTCTGCATGTGTCTCTCTCTGCATATGTGTGTGTGTGTGTGTCTGTCTCTGCATGTGTCTCTCTCTGCATGTGTGTGTGTGTGTGTCTCTGTCTCTGCATGTGTCTCTCTCTGCATATGTGTGTGTGTGTGTCTCTGTCTCTGCATGTGTCTCTCTCTGCATATGTGTGTGTGTGTGTCTCTGCATGTGTCTCTCTCTGCATATGTGTGTGTGTGTGTCTCTGCATGTGTCTCTCTCTGCATATGTGTGTGTGTGTGTCTCTGTCTCTGCATGTATCTCTCTCTGCATATGTGTGTGTGTGTGTCTCTGTCTCTGCATATGTGTGTGTGTGTGTCTGTCTCTGCATGTGTCTCTCTGCATGTGTGTGTCTGTCTCTGTCTCTGCATGTGTCTCTCTCTCTCTGTCTGTGTGTGTCTCTCTTTCTGCATGTGTGTGTGTGTATGTATGCGTGTTTCTCTTTGCATATGTGCGTGTGTCTGTCTCTGTATGTGTCTCTCTCTCTGCATGTGTGTGTGTGTGTGTGTGTGTGTGTATGTGTGTCTCTCTCTGCATATGTGCGTGTGTCTGTCTCTGTCTGTGTGTGTCTCTCTCTCTGCATGTGTGTGTGTCTCACCCTCTGGTACTCGGCCTTGGCCTGGCTCAGCAGCTGCAGGATGTCTATGGAGCGAGACTCTGGAGCCCCGTTGGTCCTGGTCGGGTCCACATGCTCCGGGACCGGTCTCTGGGCTCGCTCTGCCTCCTGCTTCACAATCCTGAAGAGACCACATGGATGAGGAGAGAGGAGAGAGGAGAAGGAGAGAGGAGAGAGGAGAGAGGAGAGGAGAGAAGGGAGGAGAGAGGAGAGAGGAGAGAAGGGAGGAGAGAGGAGAGAGGAGAGGAGAGAGGTGAGAGGAGAAGGAGAGAGGAGAGAAGGGAGGAGAGAGGAGAGAGACTGGTGTGGACACTCACTGGACCATAAGTTTAGCAATGCGTTGACAATCCAGCTTGTCATAGAACCAGATACTGTAGATGCCCACTGAAAACACAACACACAATAAGGATAGGACATAAGACCAGAGAGAGAGACCAGAGAGAGAGACCAGAGAGAGACCAGAGAGAGAGACCAGAGAGAGACCAGAGAGAGACCAGAGAGAGAGACCGAAGAGAGAGAGACCAGAGAGAGACCAAGAGAGACCAGAGAGAGACCAGAGAGAGACCAGAGGAGAGAGAGACCAGAGAGAGAGACCAGAGAGAGAGACCAGAGAGAGAGACCAGACAGAGAGACCAGAGAGAGAGACCAGAGAGAGACCAGAGAGAGAGACCAGAGAGAGAGAGACCAGAGAGAGAGACCAGAGAGAGACCAGAGAGAGACCAGAGGGAGAAAAACCATAGGACATTTTCTTCAAAATGTCCCATAGCGACAGTAGCTCAGTTGGTAGAGCATGGGTCTTTGAGCTTGAGACCTTCTCCACTGACTCCCACTGATGACTGCTGTTGTTGTGTCCTTGGGCAAGACACTTAACCCCACTTTTCCTGAAGCTCTACTGAAATATCCAGGCTCCTGTGCGGAGTCAGCACCTGCAGGAGGATCAGTGAGGGGCTGGCGCTGAGTGAACTGGATTAAGGGGAAGAAGATGGATGGATGTCCCATAGAATTGTCTTGGTTCCTGCCTCTCAGACATCAGACCACAGTTGTGTCTTAGATCTCACACTAACATGATGTTGTGTTGTGGTGAGAGCGAAGGCCCAGGGGAGGGGGCCGTTACCCAGCAGCCCCGGTGTTTGTCCCCGCTCTCTGCAGCCCCCCCCCCCCCCCCCCCCCCCGCGGGACACAACCAGCAGTAAACAGGTTTTACACCACACCTTGGCTGCATCCCAAATCACATCTTTAATCCTTTATGGTCTTTGCTACTGCTACAACTACTACTGCTATAACTACAACTACTACCACTACTACTGTAACTACCACTACTACTGTAACTACCACTACTACTGTAACTTCTACTACTACCACTACTGCTATATGCTACTCATAGTAGTAGCAGTATTAGTAGCTATAGCATCTACACTCAGATCAAACTTAAATGCTCAGAGGAGGGGGGGGGACAAGGAAGCCGAGGGAAGGAGCCAGATCTTACAAATTTGGATGCGACCAAACACACATCCATTCAGTGAGTTTTCCACTAGATTGACTTCAGTGCGAGCTCTGGAGGCTCACGTTTGGGCTTTGCTCTCACAGCCTGGACGGAGAGAACGGACTGACACTCTCTCAACAGGAAAGGATGCAGGGTTCAGGACTTCTTGGACTTTCCTTTATGGTAACTTTCTAAGCGTTTGAACTTCCTGTGGTGATGTCTGGGATCCCGGCCAGGCTGATGGGGAAGCCCAGCCCCAAAGGCGAGACGTCCACGCTGACGCTGTCTCTGGCCATGTTGTTGTTCCTGGTGGGAAAGCAGATGGGGAGGCAGTCCAACTCGCTCCTCACCGCCGTGCTGAGGCTGCTGCTCCGGCTGGTCGTGGACTACCTCTGTGGGACCACGGTCAGCTACTTCCTCCGGATTTGATGGGCAAAAACAACGAAAAGAGGACGATTTCCTGACTTTTGAGAGTGTGTGAAAGCTCTATAATCTTGTAGTTTGTAGTAGAGGTGAGAGTTTTAGTTTTCACACTAGCAGCTGACACTTAGAAGTCTCCCCCTCTCTCTCTCTCGCTCTCTAGTCTCAATCTCTGGTCTTAGTTGCTGGTTTCCCCCTAGCAGCACATACTTAGGAGCGGCTATCCTGGACCAGTACAAACAACAAGGACCAAATCTCTGATTGGAACTGACTCCTATGCGTTGCCACAATCAGCTGTAAAACATGACGCAGGTGGAACATAGCCCGTCAGATGAACACTGAGCTTCGGGGTCATGTCTGGGACCCTGCCTTCGGACCAGAGGGTCCTGCTCCAAACCAGGCCCCCAGTGGGTCTGAAGCAGAGGGGGGCTGCCCTGTTCCACCAGACGCTGGGCCGATGTCTGTACGGGCTCTTCAGAGGTAAACTAATGCTGCTGCTATTACTAGTTTTACTACTAAAGTACTCACAACACAGCAGCAGTAATATGTAACAATAGTAACATAAGGGACTGTACCAGAAGTCAGAGTCAAAGAAAAGTGGGTAAAAATTCTAGTGTTTAGATAAAAAAAAACTATAATATAATTGCCTCTGTTTCCACCTGGAATGTTATAAATGTTCTGATAAAATCACTGCTCAGGACCAAATCTGAACTAGTTTTTTCAGATATTCTTGAGTATAGAGTACATTCAAACTCTATTCTCTCTGGTCTCTCTTTACTCACATGTGCAGTGTGAGACCCGGTTAAGAAAGTGCTATATAAATAAAGTGTCCCGTGCCCAGCCTGTGTGCAGAGTGGGACTCACTGCTGCCGTTCCTGTAGAGCAGAAAGGGGTCCTGCAGCTGGAACTCCAGGTCTTTGTTGATGGGCTCCACCAGATTCTCAGTGCTCAGTCTGTTCATGATGGTGAAGCCGTGGTGAGGAGAGGCGGACCTGCAACAGACGCACAAGTGTGAAGGACAAACACTGCCTTCTGCCTGTAACTCCCTGTGCTGCCACCAGAGGGAGCTGCAAACACACACATGAGACTGTGAAGAAGGCATTTCCTCTGAGAAATCACCACAATCTTTTATGGGCAAAACAGGACTGTGATGTCATAGTGGTCTCTCTCCCTCTCTCTCAGTCTGGTCTCTCCCTCTCTCTCAGTTTTGTCTCTCCCTCTGGTCTCTCTTTCTGGTCCCTCTGGTCTCTCTGGTCTCCCTTTCTGGTCCCTCTGGTCTCCCTTTCTGGTCCCTCTGGTCTCTCTCAGTCTCCCTCTGGTCTCTCTCAGTCTCCCTCTGGTCTCTCTCAGTCTCCTTCTGGTCTCTCTCACTCTTCCTCTCGCACTGATCTCTCTTCCTCTCGCACTGGTCCCTCTTCCTCTCGCACTGGTCCCTCTTCCTCTCGCACTGGTCCCTCTTCCTCTCGCACTGGTCCCTCTTCCTCTCGCTCTGGTCCCTCTTCCTCTCGCTCTGGTCCCTCTTCCTCTCGCACTGGTCCTTCTTCCTCTCGCTCTGGTCCCTCTTCCTCTCGCACTGGTCCTTCTTCCTCTCGCACTGGTCCCTCTTCCTCTCGCACTGGTCCCTCTTCCTCTCGCACTGGTCCCTCTTCCTCTCGCACTGGTCCCTCTTCCTCTCGCACTGGTCCTTCTTCCTCTCGCACTGGTCCCTCTTCCTCTCGCTCTGGTCCCTCTTCCTCTTGCACTGGTCCTTCTTCCGCTCGCTCTGGTCCCTCTTCCTCTCGCTCTGGTCCCTCTTCCTCTTGCACTGGTCCTTCTTCCTCTCGCACTGGTCCCTCTTCCTCTCGCACTGGTCCCTCTTCCTCTCGCACTGGTCCCTCTCCTCTCGCTCTCTCTCTCCTCTCGCTCTGGTCCCTCTTCCTCTCGCTCTGGTCCCTCTCCCTCTCGCTCTGGTCCCTCTTCCTCTCGCACTGGTCCCTCTTCCTCTCGCACTGGTCCCTCTTCCTCTCGCTCTGGTCCCTCTTCCTCTCGCACTGGTCCTTCTTCCTCTCGCTCTGGTCCCTCTTCCTCTCGCTCTGGTCCCTCTTCCTCTCGCTCTGGTCCCTCTTCCTCTCGCTCTGGTCCCTCTTCCTCTTGCTCTGGTCCCTCTTCCTCTCGCTCTGGTCTCTCTCCCTCTTGCACTGGTCCTTCTTCCTCTCGCACTGGTCCCTCTTCCTCTCGCACTGGTCCCTCTTCCTCTCGCTCTGGTCCCTCTCCCTCTGGTCTCTCTCCCTCTCGCTCTGGTCCCTCTTCCTCTCGCTCTGGTCCCTCTCCCTCTCGCTCTGGTCCCTCTTCCTCTCGCACTGGTCCCTCTTCCTCTCGCACTGGTCCCTCTTCCTCTCGCTCTGGTCCCTCTTCCTCTCGCACTGGTCCTTCTTCCTCTCGCTCTGGTCCCTCTTCCTCTCGCTCTGGTCCCTCTTCCTCTCGCTCTGGTCCCTCTTCCTCTCGCTCTGGTCCCTCTTCCTCTTGCTCTGGTCCCTCTTCCTCTCGCTCTGGTCTCTCTCCCTCTCGCTCTGGTCCCTCTTCCTCTCGCTCTGGTCCCTCTTCCTCTCGCTCTGGTCCCTCTTCCTCTCGCTCTGGTCCCTCTTCCTCTTGCACTGGTCCCTCTTCCTCTCGCTCTGGTCCCTCTTCCTCTCGCTCTGGTCCCTCTTCCTCTCGCTCTGGTCCCTCTTCCTCTCGCTCTGGTCCCTCTCCCTCTCGCTCTGGTCTCTCTTCCTCTCGCTCTGGTCCCTCTCCCTCTCGCACTGGTCCCTCTTCCTCTCGCTCTGGTCCCTCTTCCTCTCGCTCTGGTCTCTCTCCCTCTCGCTCTGGTCCCTCTTCCTCTCGCTCTGGTCCCTCTCCCTCTCGCTCTGGTCCCTCTTCCTCTCGCACTGGTCCCTCTTCCTCTCGCACTGGTCCCTCTTCCTCTCGCTCTGGTCCCTCTTCCTCTCGCACTGGTCCTTCTTCCTCTCGCTCTGGTCCCTCTTCCTCTCGCTCTGGTCCCTCTTCCTCTCGCTCTGGTCCCTCTTCCTCTCGCTCTGGTCCCTCTTCCTCTTGCTCTGGTCCCTCTTCCTCTCGCTCTGGTCTCTCTCCCTCTTGCACTGGTCCTTCTTCCTCTCGCACTGGTCCCTCTTCCTCTCGCTCTGGTCCCTCTTCCTCTCGCTCTGGTCCCTCCCTCTGGTCCCTCCTCTCGCTCTGGTCCCTCTTCCTCTCGCTCTGGTCCCTCTCCCTCTCGCTCTGGTCCCTCTTCCCTCTCGCTCTGGTCCCTCTTCCTCTCGCACTGGTCCCTCTTCCTCTCGCTCTGGTCCTCTCTTCCTCTCGCTCTGGTCCCTCTTCCTCTCGCTCTGGTCCCTCTTCCCTCTCGCTCTGGTCCCTCTCTTCCTCTCGCTCTGGTCCCTCTTCCCTCTCGCTCTGGTCCCTCTTCCTCTCGCTCTGGTCCCTCTTCCTCTCGCTCTGGTCTCTCTCCCTCTCGCTCTGGTCCCTCTTCCTCTCGCTCTGGTCCCTCTTCCTCTCGCTCTGGTCCCTCTTCCTCTCGCTCTGGTCCCTCTTCCTCTCGCTCTGGTCCTCTCTCCTCTCGCTCTGGTCCTCCCTCCTCTCGCTCTCTCGCTCTGGTCCCTCTCCCTCTCGCTCTGGTCTCTCTCCTCTTCCTCTCCTCTCGCTCTGGTCCTCTCTCTCCCTCCTCGCTCTGGTCCCTCTCCCTCTCCTCTCTCCTTCCTCTCGCTCTGGCCTCTCTCCCTCTCGCCTCTCCTCTCCTCCTCCTCTCGCTCTGGTCCCTCTCCCTCTCGCTCTGGCCTCTCCCTCTCCCTCTTCCTCTCGCTCTGGTCCCTCTCCCTCTCGCTCTGGCCTCTCCCTCTCCCTCTTCCTCTCGCTCTGGTCCCTCTCCCTCTCGCTCTGGTCCCTCTCCCTCTCGCTCTGGTCTCTCTTCTTTGGGCTTTAAACAATGTAACAACTGTGTTACAGTGTTACAAAAACAGACCTGAAGTAGTTTTTTATCTTGTCCTCATTTGTGTGAGTCACTCTTTGACTCTTTGGGCTGAGAGCTGATTGGCTGCTCATTTGTGTGAGTCACTCTTTGACTCTTTGGGCTGAGAGCTGATTGGCTGCTCATTTGTGTGAGTCACTCTTTGACTCTTTGGGCTGAGAGCTGATTGGCTGAGAGCTGATTGGCTGCTCATTTGTGTGAGTCACTCTTTGACTCTTTGGGCTGAGAGCTGATTGGCTGAAAGAGGGTGTTGTTAAAAATTACATTTTCTCTTTGAAAAATCTGGTCTAAATAAGTGAGAGACCAGCAACAGAAGTAGAGACAGATTTGATTACAGAGTTCAGTGCTGTGAAAAACAGGTACCCCAGCTTTAAACTTGAACTGACAAATCCACAGTAAGATCTCACCTCGAATAAACAAATAAAGTGCCTTCAATTTCTGTCTTCTCCTGAAAAACAAACATCTGTGACTCAAAAACACAACATTGAAAAGATGGAACAAAGTGCTAAAAACAGGACTAAAAATAATATCCAAGCTTTAATCTTTACATGTTATACATTTACAGCCGACAAGACACTAGCACTGTGACTGTCATACTGATCACATCTGCCAGAGTGCTGCTGTTGTTGTTGTTAGCATTAGCGTGCTGAAGCTAACTTAGCTTAGCATGTAGCATCAGCGGCTCCAGGACTAACTCACCCACTCGTTCCCTTTCGAGTTGAAGTTATAAAGTGCCACTTGACCCGTGACATCGATGAGCTTGTTGATGTACGGGTCCTGTCTCTGCAGAGCCGCTAAACTCATCACATGCCCGGCCTGAGTGCTCTCCATGGCCCCGCGGATGTGTGTCGTTAGCGCCGAGGACTCAGGTGTTAGCGCCCCCTGCGGCCAGAACGGGTACTGCTTTATAATCCTGAGCAGCGTTTGGTGAGGACGACATTCAAGCTGGGGTCTCTAAAGCTGTGGTCTCTAAAGCTGTGGTCTCTAAAGCTGTGGTCTCTAAAGCTGGGGTCTCTAAAGCTGGGGTCTCTAAAGCTGTGGTCTCTAAAGCTGTGGTCTCTAAAGCTGTGGTCTCTAAAGCTGTGGTCTCTAAAGCTGTGGTCTCTAAAGCTGTGGTCTCTAAAGCTGTGGTCTCTAAAGCTGTGGTCTCTAAAGCTGTGGTCTCTAAAGCTGTGGTCTCTAAAGCTGGGGTCTTTAAAGCTGTGGTCTCTAAAGCTGGGGTCTCTAAAGCTGGGGTCTCTAAAGCTGGGGTCTCTAAAGCTGGGGTCTCTAAAGCTGGGGTCTTTAAAGCTGTGGTCTCTAAAGCTGTGGTCTCTAAAGCTGGGGTCTTTAAAGCTGTGGTCTCTAAAGCTGTGGTCTCTAAAGCTGTGGTCTCTAAAGCTGTGGTCTCTAAAGCTGGGGTCTTTAAAGCTGTGGTCTCTAAAGCTGGGGTCTCTAAAGCTGGGGTCTCTAAAGCTGGGGTCTCTAAAGCTGGGGTCTCTAAAGCTGGGGTCTTTAAAGCTGTGGTCTCTAAAGCTGTGGTCTCTAAAGCTGGGGTCTTTAAAGCTGTGGTCTCTAAAGCTGGGGTCTCTAAAGCTGTGGTCTCTAAAGCTTGGGTCTCTAAAGCTGTGGTCTCTAAAGCTGTGGTCTCTAAAGCTGTGGTCTCTAAAGCTGGGGTCTCTAAAGCTGTGGTCTCTAAAGCTGTGGTCTCTAAAGCTGGTGGTCTCTAAAGCTGGGTCTCTAAAGCTGTGGTCTCTAAAGCTGTGGTCTCTAAAGCTGTGGTCTCTAAAGCTGTGGTCTCTAAAGCTGGAGTCTCTAAAGCTGTGGTCTCTAAAGCTGTGGTCTCTAAAGCTGTGGTCTCTAAAGCTGTGGTCTCTAAAGCTGGGGTCTTTAAAGCTGTGGTCTCTAAAGCTGGGGTCTCTAAAGCTGGGGTCTCTAAAGCTGGGGTCTCTAAAGCTGGGGTCTCTAAAGCTGGGGTCTCTAAAGCTGTGGTCTCTAAAGCTGTGGTCTCTAAAGCTGTGGTCTCTAAAGCTGTGGTCTCTAAAGCTGTGGTCTCTAAAGCTGGGGTCTTTAAAGCTGTGGTCTCTAAAGCTGTGGTCTCTAAAGCTGGGGTCTTTAAAGCTGTGGTCTCTAAAGCTGGGGTCTCTAAAGCTGTGGTCTCTAAAGCTTGGGTCTCTAAAGCTGTGGTCTCTAAAGCTGTGGTCTCTAAAGCTGTGGTCTCTAAAGCTGGGGTCTCTAAAGCTGTGGTCTCTAAAGCTGTGGTCTCTAAAGCTGTGGTCTCTAAAGCTGGGGTCTCTAAAGCTGTGGTCTCTAAAGCTGGGGTCTCTAAAGCTGTGGTCTCTAAAGCTGGGGTCTCTAAAGCTGTGGTCTCTAAAGCTGTGGTCTCTAAAGCTGTGGTCTCTAAAGCTGGGGGTCTCTAAAGCTGTGGTCTCTAAAGCTGGGGTCTCTAAAGCTGTGGTCTCTAAAGCTGGGGTCTCTAAAGCTGTGGTCTCTAAAGCTGGGTCTCTAAAGCTGTGGTCTCTAAAGCTGTGGTCTCTAAAGCTGGGTCTCTAAAGCTGTGGTCTCTAAAGCTGGGGTCTCTAAAGCTGTGGTCTCTAAAGCTGGGGTCTCTAAAGCTGTGGTCTCTAAAGCTGTGGTCTCTAAAGCTGTGGTCTCTAAAGCTGGGGTCTCTAAAGCTGTGGTCTCTAAAGCTGGGGTCTCTAAAGCTGTGGTCTCTAAAGCTGGGGTCTCTAAAGCTGGGGTCTCTAAAGCTGTGGTCTCTAAAGCTGTGGTCTCTAAAGCTGTGGTCTCTAAAGCTGGGTCTCTAAAGCTGTGGTCTCTAAAGCTGGGGTCTCTAAAGCTGTGGTCTCTAAAGCTGGGGTCTCTAAAGCTGTGGTCTCTAAAGCTGGGGTCTCTAAAGCTGTGGTCTCTAAAGCTGGGTCTCTAAAGCTGTGGTCTCTAAAGCTGGGGTCTCTAAAGCTGTGGTCTCTAAAGCTGGGGTCTCTAAAGCTGTGGTCTCTAAAGCTGGGTCTCTAAAGCTGGGTCTCTAAAGCTGTGGTCTCTAAAGCTGGGGTCTCTAAAGCTGTGGTCTCTAAAGCTGGGGTCTCTAAAGCTGTGGTCTCTAAAGCTGGGGTCTCTAAAGCTGTGGTCTTAAAGCTGGGTCTCTAAAGCTGTGGTCTCTAAAGCTGTGGTCTCTAAAGCTGTGGTCTCTAAAGCTGGGGTCTCTAAAGCTGGGGTCTCTAAAGCTGTGGTCTCTAAAGCTGTGGTCTCTAAAGCTGTGGTCTCTAAAGCTGGGGTCTCTAAAGCTGGGGTCTCTAAAGCTGTGGTCTCTAAAGCTGGGGTCTCTAAAGCTGTGGTCTCTAAAGCTGTGGTCTCTAAAGCTGGGTCTCTAAAGCTGGGTCTCTAAAGCTGGGTCTCTAAAGCTGGGTCTCTAAAGCTGTGGTCTCTAAAGCTGTGGTCTCTAAAGCTGGTGGTCTCTAAAGCTGGGGTCTCTAAAGCTGTGGTCTCTAAAGCTGGGGTCTCTAAAGCTGTGGTCTCTAAAGCTGGGGTCTCTAAAGCTGGGTCTGGGTCTCTAAAGCTGGGTCTCTAAAGCTGGGGTCTCTAAAGCTGGGGTCTCTAAAGCTGGGGTCTCTAAAGCTGGGGTCTCTAAAGCTGGGGTCTCTAAAGCTGGGGTCTCTAAAGCTGGGTCTCTAAAGCTGGGTCTCTAAAGCTGGGGTCTCTAAAGCTGGGTCTCTAAAGCTGGGTCTCTAAAGCTGGGGTCTCTAAAGCTGGGGTCTCTAAAGCTGGGGTCTCTAAAGCTGGGTCTCTAAAGCTGTGGTCTCTAAAGCTGTGGTCTCTAAAGCTGGGTCTCTAAAGCTGGGGTCTCTAAAGCTGGGGTCTCTAAAGCTGGGGTCTCTAAAGCTGGGTCTCTAAAGCTGGGTCTCTAAAGCTGGGGTCTCTAAAGCTGTGGTCTCTAAAGCTGTGGTCTCTAAAGCTGGGTCTCTAAAGCTGGGGTCTCTAAAGCTGTGGTCTCTAAAGCTGTGGGTCTCTAAAGCTGGGTCTCTAAAGCTGTGGTCTCTAAAGCTGTGGTCTCTAAAGCTGTGGTCTCTAAAGCTGTGGTCTCTAAAGCTGTGGTCTCTAAAGCTGTGGTCTCTAAAGCTGTGGTCTCTAAAGCTGTGGTCTCTAAAGCTGGTGGTCTCTAAAGCTGTGGTCTCTAAAGCTGTGGTCTCTAAAGCTGTGGTCTCTAAAGCTGTGGTCTCTAAAGCTGTGGTCTCTAAAGCTGTGGTCTCTAAAGCTGGGTCTCTAAAGCTGTGGTCTCTAAAGCTGTGGTCTCTAAAGCTGGGGTCTCTAAAGCTGTGGTCTCTAAAGCTGGGGTCTCTAAAGCTGTGGTCATCTAAAGCTGGGTCTCTAAAGCTGTGGTCTCTAAAGCTGGGTCTCTAAAGCTGGGTCTCTAAAGCTGTGGCTGTGGTCTCTAAAAGCTGTGGTCTCTAAAGCTGGGGTCTCTAAAGCTGTGGTCTCTAAAGCTGGGGTCTCTAAAGCTGTGGTCTCTAAAGCTGTGGTCTCTAAAGCTGTGGTCTCTAAAGCTTGGGTCTCTAAAGCTGGGGTCTCTATGCTGTGGTCTCTAAAGCTGGGGTCTCTAAAGCTGTGGTCTCTAAAGCTGTGGTCTCTAAAGCTGTGGTCTCTAAAGCTGGGTCTCTAAAGCTGTGGTCTCTAAAGCTGTGGTCTCTAAAGCTGTGGTCTCTAAAGCTGTGGTCTCTAAAGCTGGGTCTCTAAAGCTGTGGTCTCTAAAGCTGTGGTCTCTAAAGCTGTGGTCTCTAAAGCTGTGGTCTCTAAAGCTGGGGTCTCTAAAGCTGTGGTCTCTAAAGCTGTGGTCTCTAAAGCTGTGGTCTCTAAAGCTGTGGTCTCTAAAGCTGTGGTCTCTAAAGCTGGAGCCTCTAAAGCTGGGGTCTCTAAAGCTGTGGTCTCTAAAGCTGGGGTCTCTAAAGCTGTGGTCTCTAAAGCTGTGGTCTCTAAAGCTGGGTCTCTAAAGCTGTGGTCTCTAAAGCTGGGGTCTCTAAAGCTGGGTCTCTAAAGCTGTGGTCTCTAAAGCTGTGGTCTCTAAAGCTGGGGTCTCTAAAGCTGTGGTCTCTAAAGCTGGGGTCTCTAAAGCTGTGGTCTCTAAAGCTGGGGTCTCTAAAGCTGTGGTCTCTAAAGCTGGGGTCTCTAAAGCTGTGGTCTCTAAAGCTGGGGTCTCTAAAGCTGTGGTCTCTAAAGCTGGGGTCTCTAAAGCTGTGGTCTCTAAAGCTGGGGTCTCTAAAGCTGTGGTCTCTAAAGCTGGGGTCTCTAAAGCTGTGGTCTCTAAAGCTGTGGTCTCTAAAGCTGTGGTCTCTAAAGCTGTGGTCTCTAAAGCTGTGGTCTCTAAAGCTGTGGTCTCTAAAGCTGGGTCTCTAAAGCTGGGTCTCTAAAGCTGTGGTCTCTAAAGCTGTGGTCTCTAAAGCTGTGGTCTCTAAAGCTGGGGTCTCTAAAGCTGTGGTCTCTAAAGCTGTGGTCTCTAAAGCTGGGGTCTCTAAAGCTGTGGTCTCTAAAGCTGTGGTCTCTAAAGCTGTGGTCTCTAAAGCTGTGGTCTCTAAAGCTGTGGTCTCTAAAGCTGTGGTCTCTAAAGCTGGGGTCTCTAAAGCTGGGTCTCTAAAGCTGTGGTCTCTAAAGCTGGGTCTCTAAAGCTGGGTCTCTAAAGCTGGGTCTCTAAAGCTGTGGTCTCTAAAGCTGTGGTCTCTAAAGCTGGGTCTCTAAAGCTGTGGTCTCTAAAGCTGGGGTCTCTAAAGCTGGGGTCTCTAAAGCTGGGGTCTCTAAAGCTGGGTCTCTAAAGCTGGGGTCTCTAAAGCTGTGGTCTCTAAAGCTGTGGTCTCTAAAGCTGT